GGTGAGAGCAGGAATGACCTCAGATGAGCGTCAGTTTTTATACGAGGCCATCCTCACACATGAGGACGTAGATTTGGCAGTCCAGAAAATCAACATGTATTGCGAACACGCAAGAAGCATGTTCGAAAAGGACCATCCAGGCGTAGATCCATACAGCCTTGATGATATCAGGAACAATCCTCCGAATACGTATGACAGCTCCACAGAGGCTCCAACCCTGGAGGAATATAAGAGCGTTAACAAGAGTCACATCAACATCAAGGACTCTAGAACAAGCCACCCGGCTTCTTTTCTCACTCTTACTGGCCACGAAGACAAACTGGTGCTCGACGCACATTACGAGATAGTTCGCAACAGGATGGCCGGTGTCAATGAGAAGAGAGAATACATTGAAGGCTCGAACCCAGACAGCGTATCGCTAAACCTAGTGGTATTCAACTGGGGAAATATGGATCGAGCGCCGGTGCCCGCAGGGAATCCCAAAAAGAAGCTCAAACCTGAGAAGGGATTCGATTATCACCCTCTTATTGACATGTGCTTCAACAATTCAGCTCATATTACCCTCGTACTCGAGGCAGGAGCACTTGCGTCAGAGTACTCAATCGCAACCATGCGAAAACACGAATACAGAGGGATGCTAATCCACTCTCCTCCCAAGGAGCCTGAGGCACCCTCAATGTACATCGGAGTCAAGGGTGACCCAACGACAGACATCGCTCTCGTCCACCACTTTTACCGTCATCGAACAATGAAGCCTAAGAATGGTGGTACCAAGAAGCGACTGTGGGCATGCCACGGTGCGGTGTGCCGCCTCACATTCGGGTACCACAGTACCATACCAGAGGCAAAAGAATGGGTCCACCCAAATTCTGGCCAAAGGATGACGAGAGACGAGTTCATGCAGATTATCGGATATGACCCACTCAAGGGCAAAAATCCTGACAAGGATGGACCCACTGATGGCTCTTACCTCTCACCAGAGGCGTGCCTGACACTGTCGACCCTCGACCCCTCGCCGATTCTCTGTGAATGGAACGGCCATGTCGAGGGTGATGAGCCACCAGAGGAAGACTTTGAGACATACGCAGAGATCTTCTCACAAGAAGCATCTAACGATCTTGACGAGATGTGGTGTACAAAAGGGCCTTACAAGGTCATCACCATCGCGATCGTCCATTTCAACTCGTTCATGACTCATAAGGAAGAACAGAGACGCGAACTGGTGAACGCGTTCCTCAACGAGATTCTCCCTTTTAAACCGGATGTAATAGCGGGAGATCTCAATAATATTGCGTCGAGGCTCACCTTAAAAGGTGGAGACGTTCACCCGCGAAACAGTTTGTTTTCTCTATACCTGGAGAAGAAACTTGCAGCATTCAACAAAATAGCAGGAAGGCACTCACAAGTGCGACATCTTTGCTTGAACAACTCCGACCAGCACAGACTGGCACGTGCAGATCGTCTACCGGCGGACCCGGCGAAGAAAGTTGCTGACCTTGACTGTATCAACAGTTATATCCTTGACTGGAGTAAAACGCCGCACACGGCGTCACCTAGTCCAAGAGAGGTCACACCTGCCGCTGAAAGAACATACTGGGAACGAATCTCAGATATGTGGCAGGACACGAACAACAACAGGGATATTGATATCCGTCTGTTTGTTTCAGTCAAGCAGTACTATTCAACTTTTTCTAACCTTGACCTATGGTTGGGTCCCACTGACAAAGATTGGCACAGCCCATTGGGCTTCACGATACAACCAATCCTTACAAAAGGGAAACACAACCGATCAGATGCCCAGGTCCAAAAGATCGCTGACAAGCGAAAGGCTTACAAGCAGCGTAATGCTGAATACTGGGGTTACAACGATTCATTCGTTTACTCATCCGGCAACAGCTGGTACGACAAATCGCAACCATCAGGTAGCCATCACAGATATGGAAGATTCTGGGAGTGGCCACAGCCTGAACGTCCCAGCGAGCCTGAAGGTCCTCCTCCAAGAAGGAACCAGGAATCATCGTCCTCTTCACAACAAGATCTACCAAGATCAAGGTCCAGGCCTCAAAGAACCAATATTGTTGACAAGCTCAACATGTCTTTGGAAGAGCTGGATGGACTAGAAGAAGAACCGTCACCAACAAAAAGTGACATCGAAGAACACGAAAGAGAAACATCAAACTTGATGTCTGCTCAGAGAGATGAAGAGGAACAAGAGGACGAATCCTCCAGTCGGAGAAGAAGAAGGAAAGCATCGCGTCCACCGTCTGCTCCGAGCGGCAAGGCACTCAGAACAGCTGCAACAGCAGCGGGGCTGTCAGGCTGGTTCGGACACCGCAACCGAGGTGGAGCAAACGCAGAGTCTACCAAGACTGATGAAACTTCACTTCCAGACTCACTAACCAGTGAGCAAGACTTCTCCGTCTTCAGCATCACGTGGAATGTGTTCCTGCTGCTAATGGGCTTACACTGGATGTGGAAGCAGATTACCAGGCCTCCTATCAGATGCATGGAGCGCCAACAACCAAAATCAAAGGCAGCAGCGAACCAAAGAGTTCCATTCCTCGAACCCGAGGATGAACCGCAGACGCGTGAACCTTTAGGACCCAACAGGGTCAATTCCGGAGAAACAACTGATCTGCGACCTATCTGGCATACTTCCCGAAGCGAAGTCTACCATCTCTCAGACAGCTGTTACCAGCTTAAGCAAGCAAGAGATGTTTGCAAGAAGGTGCTGTGCAAGAACTGCCTCCATGCAGTACAAGTTGCGGAGATTCGCAGGAATGATCCTTTCCAAAGAGGTGATACACGACCACGTGGCACCGAAAGAGATATTGAGCGCTTCCAGACCTATGATTATGCAAGTAACACTCCTCACATGACACAATTATTCCAGGATGCCTTGCATGCACAAATGGCCGAGGAAGCCATGCAGATTACCTATACATCGATCCCCAAGGGATCCTCGGCAAGGGCCAGAGGTACATCTGCACTCCCAAGTGCCGCATCGTCATCAGCGCCCAAGGCAATGCCACCAGGGCCTAACAAGGCAAACATATCACCTCCACCTAAGAGTCCTCCGCCAAAGGCGAAAGGAACAGTACCTTCTGCTCCTCCGAGACCAAAAGGTCCTACCAGAAGAGGAGGTCAAAATCGGCGTATTCAACGAAAGGCAGCTAGAGAAGCCCACAACAGTGGACTCTGCACCTATGCAGACGCTGCACTTGACGAAGCCAATCAAGGCCAGGCAATTAACGTTACGTGCCGAAACATAGTATCAAGACACGTCAGCTCTATCGATGCAACGGTAGAAGCAGCCGGCCAGTTTACACAACGCGTGCTACAGCACGTAGAAACATATGATGAAGAGGAACCGTGGAGCACGGAGTTCCTACCAATCGTGGAAGTCCTATTCAGGAACTTAAGCGGCGACGAAACAACTGTCATACATGACAATCAAACGGTAACTATGCCTCTTGCGAAATACACAGACCTCCTCAGAATCGCACAAGCATTGCGAGGCTCTATCCAGAGAGACAAGGAGGAAAGAAAGGAACATCTTGACACCATCCAAGATACTCTATCCAGAGTGGAAATCCTTCTCGCAGCACTGAAGGACTCAAGGACAGTCTTCAACCAACTGGTCCATTCCTCACTAGAGATCGAGCGAAGAAATAACAATCTCAAAAATGTCCTCGAGACACTCTTTGATGACCAAAGCTCTGAGGAAGACCAATCAGAATCTGACAATGAAGAAGTCCTAACTCCTTCTGCACCACAGTACTGGAATAGCCTTTATGCCCACGCCTTATCTCCCTCAGGAGATGAAAGTGAAAGATCATGGGCGTCCTCAGACGGACAGCTTGAAAGAAGAAGGGCTGAACGGGCAAAGGCTAAGCAGCCGCAACCGGCAAAAGCCAAGGCAACTCCAGTCAGCTCACAAGCTGCTCCAAAGGCCGAGCCAAAGGCGACAACATCCAACCATGGATATGATACTGCAGACGCCGCCTTCACCAGGGCTGAGAATAGATTACTCGGAATCTTTTCAAGTTCCGAAGAAGACCACTCAGACCCGGATGAGCCACATCCGAATGTCTACGCTCGAGCCTATGATCCAAACCTGGATCCGAATCTGAGATAAGAAAATTCTCAGAGTTTCACAACAGTGAATCACAAGGCTCTAACAAGAGCACAATGAAGGGCTGCATAATTCGGTAGTAGAACATTACCAGACCTGATCTTGTACAGATGATCTCTCTGACCAATATGCATGAGTGTGTGTGCAAAATGAGTGGAGTGTCCTCAGCAGTGTACTTCAGTGCTATACCTAGCATAAATAATATGCTGTTTTTATAATGAGTCCAAAACTCCGCAACTGTGACAGTGGGCATAACAGTATATGTGTGAATGTGCGGCCATGCTTCCGGTAAAAGAAAATTAGTGTCTGTTTGAAACCATAAACCTCTAAAGGGGTAGCTCTAACAGGTACCTACAGCAATGGCTGCATGCTCATACATATACATTCCGCTGCCCATTGGCTCACAGTGGTTTTACCATATTGAGACAAGACAAGCTCTCCTTGCGTAGCAAGACAAAACAACTACTGTCCGTGTGCAGGGCGCTGCCCTTTGATCCTTAGGGAATAACTGGTCATACACCTCCTTACAAGGAGTATCCCTTGGGGGTGTATCGGCACAGGGGGGAGGGGGGGGAGGGGGGAGGGGGGGGGAAGGTTGGAGGGTGGGGGGAGGGGCCCTGGAGGCCGACAAATCAAGTAAAATGAAGGGAAGCCGGACAAGGCGGTGGCAAACGAATGCAAAAACAGGGTGTCTCCAAACATTTGGAGGTACTTGAGGTAACCACCAAGACGCCTGGGCCTGTGGCCTCGGCGGATAATACGAGGCTGCAGCTTTTAGTCTCCCTCTCTCTCTCTCTCTCTATTGCTGCCCAGATTGGGTGTCGCCTACGGCTTGAACTTCGTAGAGCTGCTTGTCGCTGCCGCGATGCCGTGTTCGGCCGCACGTGCCAAAGTCTGAGGAAGGGGTGCTGAGGAACCTAGTTAACACTAATACTAAGACTAGCGGCGCGCGCGGTTCGATCTGACAAGTATCTGACACTACTTCAAGGCTGCAGCAGTGTTCTACCCCATTACGCAGTCCGCCTCGCGCCTGAGTGTGGTGAGCACAAGAATCCGAAAGTCCTGTCTGCCGGCCCTAGGTGTGCAAAGCCAGCGGATCAGATCCTCATCAGGCCTCAACGGCCCGGGCTAGACGAGGAGGGTGTCGCGAGCCTCACGGCTGCCGTCTGCAGGGAACCGCATCCAAATGCGGCAAGTTCCTGGTGGAATGCTGCTACCAGGTCACACCGCTAAGTGGAACGCAGTAGAAGAAGTGCTTCGGATAGCGAAACGCCCTCGAGGCAACAGCAACTTCGTCCTGCATGTTTCTCACCGGTGCAGCACAGAACTACTTTGTGCTGAAACTGGCGGAGGAGGCTCCAGCGCGGATGGTAGAGACTCCGCATACAGAGACCTTCCACCGCCCCCCTTTCACATGGGAGTTTCCTAAAAGTAGGGGTGCCTGCCTTATTTTGGGGGTCCTTATAATAAGGATCCTACTATTTAGGGTACTACACTACCTTAAACTACCAAACCCTACAAGGATCCCCCTGTGAGGTGGGAGTTGTGATCCAAAACCCTAAACCCTAAACCCTAAACCCGTGACGGCTAGAGACTAGTGCAGTTTCAAAAAGGCCCTCAAAAAAAACCCTAAACCCGTGAGGTGGGAGTTGTGATCGAGCATCCTTTCCAGAGCTGGTTCAGAGCCGCCCTTGCTCCGGCTCGGTCCTCGGAGATCCTCGGAGAGGTCGGAGGCGACTGAGCCGCCCCTTTTTTGAGGCCTATACTATAACTAGAAGAAGGAAGAATCATACTATAACTATAGTAAGGAATCATACTATAACTATAATAAGGAACCCTTCAAAATAGTCTAGGTGACTTTTTTGAGGCCCTCGTCTCATTTCTCATGACGCCGCTGATTGCCTTGCGCTTGATGCCGCCAGAGTCGCGGACGACGCCCGACGCTCCGAAGGCTCGGCTTGAGGGATCCTACACCCTGGAGTATAAGATGGGTCTTGAGGCCCATTGTTCTCTATAATTATACCTATAATTACAATAAGGATCCCCCCCAAAAAAGGGTATAGGTAATTATCCTAGGGCTCCTATCTGCAGAATCCTCGTCGCGTTGCCACCATGGGATCACAGGTAGCACGCCAGCAGCTGGCAGCCATGGGCCCCGTCTCGGATGACGAGAAAATCTTTGGTGCCTTGATGATGTGTGTCCCGGCTAATCTCATGATCCGTGAAACGCATGAGAGATTTTACCCATTCGTTTCTAGTGAAGAGAAGCAGGGCAAGCTGGTAGCCTCGGTCTGGAGGCATGGTGTGCCTATGGGCAACCACATCCATTCTTCACATTCCGCCCGTGGTTACAGCGCTGTGCGGCTTCGCGGGCCTTCTTCTTACCGGTGTTCTAACCTGGGAGGACAGACCGACGGTGCAGCCCTGGGGTCCCGTAGATTTCTTTCGCTCATCCCACTCGAGACCGTCTGATGGGTCATTGCTTGTGGCAGTTCGGAATTTTGGATTTGTACCGGCCACGGACTAACCCCAGTCTGTGTTCTAGTGGCATTGGCATTGAGGACGCCCCATAAAAAGTGCACGCACTAATCGTTGGTCTTCCGAAGCCTAAGGCCTAAGCCGGCCTAAGCCGACTTTTCCGTTCGTCAGACGAGTCGTTTGGCAGGACTGTGCAAGCAACAAGGCAGCATGGAGCACCTTCATCTCCTTTGCAACATTGGTTGGCCGGAGCGCCAGCTGACATAACATGGTGCTGCAAAGCCGGAAATGAGCAGTGCCTCAAGGTCTTGCAGAGATGTTGAAAGCTTTGGGAATTGTGGAGTGCGCCCCTTTTTCCAGCCTCCATGTGGATTGGCAGGACGATTGAATGAAGTGATTTCAGGTGGTCATCTTCTGTCGTGACGTCGCACATAACTGCCGCAGGGCTGACTCAGGCAGGGTCCAGTGTCCAGTCATTTTCCGCCAAGCTTTACGAGACGAAGCTGACTTGAAGGTGAATGCCTTTCTCATTATCGTCGGAGCCTACTGGGCCGTGCACTATCTTTTCGCCTCCCAGGTGCGTGAGTTGCCAGTTTCCGTGGACGCTTCATTCGGGAGTCTAAGCCAGTGGGACGCTGCTCCACCGTTTTGGAGGCAGTGTTTCTGTGCTGGCTGTTCACGCAGGTGGCACATGTATCTGCTCTTTTCCAACCTTTTCTCGTCATGTTGGCTGGAGACTTGGTGGGAGCTTCATGAGGACTCAGGGAGTGAATCAGAATCGGCATGAGAAGCTGAGCCTTAAACCCAAAACCTTCAACTCCTAAACCCAAAAGCCTCAAAAGCCTCAACTCCAAAACCCTAAACCTCCTAAACTCTGAGGTTCAGACTGGAACTCCGCCAGATGCGGCTTTCTTTGCTCTGGCCTTTGCCTCCAATCTCTTCGCGACATTGACGCCCTATGCCTGATGCCGAGAATGCCCAGCTTTCTTGGGACCATGTCCCGGGTTTAGGGTGGGGCTTTACTTGAAGGATCATGGGACTTGGTGAGTAGGGTCATAAGTACATTCATTAGGGTTATAAGTAATTATAACTGTAGTTACTTTACTTACAACCCTACTTACTAAGTCCCATGATCCTTTAAGTGGGGATTCAGGGTCCAGGGTTTTGCGGCTGATGGGAAACCCTTACCCCTAAACTCCGGCTGGAGGCTTCTGCGCAATCTGCGGTGATTTTCGCTGGTCAATACATCCAGGCGAACGAGTGGTACAAGGTGCGTCAAACCTTGATTTGTTGCATCAGGTGTTCCCGAAAACCCTCTCTCTCTCTCTCTCGCTCTCTTCCGTCTCTGTATCTGCCTCACCCTCTCGCTCTCTCTCCCTCCCTCTCTCTCTTTCGCTCTCTCTCTCTCTCTCTCTCTGCCTGCCTGCCTGCAGTGTTGACACAATCATTTCAGGCCGGATTGGTTTACATGGTGGCCTACTATCTTCAGTGGTTGACTGTTGGCCGGACTCTGAGACCGACCCCCTTCATCTTCGCACCCATTAGTTTACGTGGCAGGTGCGGTGTGGTGGCGGATCATCGGCCTGCTGTGAGTGGCGACCGAGGAAGATGTTCCATCGATAGGTAGCTTGGGCAACCATGCCTCAGCCAAAGACCTCCCAAAGAGGTGATCTATCGAGCTAAAAGAACATTGATCGAAGACTAGGTTGATATCCTGCTGGCACAGCTGAGAGAGCAGCCAAGTGATCCTACTTGTCCCTGCTTGTTGTGAGTGTTGGCAACACGGTCATGACGCGGGGGAGGTGTGAAAGAACTGGCAGGTCGAACTCCGTAGACCTCATGTGCTTTGCTGATCAACTTGGTGTCCCGTCCGCCTAGCCTGTTTGAAGTACAGTGTGACTGCAGATTTCTCTCTTTGAAAATCCGTGCTTGTTGAGCAGGCGCCTCTTTGAATTTGCGCAGCTCTGGGTTGCCAACCAGCAGGACCAGCTTTCAGCTGCTCAGCAATTTCTCGGAGGTGTCTGTCTGCCAGAGTGTCTGTGTGCGCTTGAATGGCTGCGCGTGCATGCGTGTGTCTGTGTTTTCCTGCACACGTTTGGCACTTGTGACTGGCGGAGTCTCAAGCGTCACAGCTGGCGCAAGGAACAGCTTGGAATGGATTATGACAGGTTGCTGACGTTGCTGGTTCATGTCACAAGACCCCGGAGATGCGAGACAGTCCCAGCTTCGTAAGAAGTATCACTGCGCCTCTTCTGTAAAACGCAACCAAGGACAGTCCAAGGAGAGGCTCAGGTTCCTGAGCCCTAAACCCAAACCCCTATATACCCTGAAGCTGCGGTTGATGTTGCAATGGCTTTCTGCTCCGGCCATGGCCATCAAGCTGGCTTCTCCAGCGGCTTCGACAGAGGTAGGCACGAGCCTCTGGTACGACTCCATAGAGATAGCAGGCTGCCCCCTTGCCGAGCCTGAAGTCAGGAAGTTGGTGCACTTCGGGATTCTCCTGAATGGGCCACCAGATTTCGGCTCTGTCCAGGCCCGCAGACGTGTGGCTTGGGCTGAGACGGCACTGCCATGATCGCAAGGTGCACATGTGGCCCACCAATTCCCGGCGAGTTTGACTATACAGGCTATCCGAGGCCCCTACCAATTCCGGACCAGTTCACTGCGAGCTGTGCGGCGTAAAAATGGTTTCTCGTGAGGCATGATAGTGGGGACCACAGATCTGCGCCTTCGCGGCCGTCCAGCCAGAAGGTGACCGACGAGGACGTCTGCCCCTGAGGACCAACTTCTCAGACTGTCCGAGTGGCCGGGCTGTCACAGGCTCACCCGATGCGCTCAACCCTAAACCACATCCAGGTCTTGCTTGCAAGACGGCAGCCACGTGCAAAGACACACAGTGACGCCGTCTTCCTCGCTGCTGCACTTCGCGTGGCCCCGAGTCGCTCATGCATAATCCTGCATATGTTGCTTCAGTGCAGCCAGGAATTGACACGCCTCACGACTAACCCAGTTTGCAGCTCTCCCTACTGTTGCTATTACTGCATAGATAGTTCTATGAAGGAGACAGCGCTCACACTGCTCCGATGCCGTGGCTGTAAGGTGCAAACTGCCTCTTTCGGCAAGTCGACAACGATGCGATCAAGCAACTCGTGGACTGCCCCACTGCCCACAAACGTCGAACATGCAAGCTTCCTTGCCAGTGTCTCGAAGACACAGGACGGGCTCGAGTACCACGAAGTCTACGCTGGTGATCGAGTCATCACCGAGGGATCCGTGGGCTCGCACCTCCCCTTAAATATCTTGCCAATGACACTTCGTCTCAGAGTTCTCCAGATTAAGGCGCTTCTACCTTGCGCATGGCGTCGGGCTGGAAACAGTGCTTCGCGGAGTGACCGCTGGTCGCTCAGAGCACAAGCAGTGCTTCACCCCTTTAGGCCCTAAACTTTCCTAAACCCTGAAGCACCAGGTCAGCAGCATGCCTGCCGGACAAACCTTCGGCGAGCTTTCGCTACTGCACAAGCGGCGGCCTCAGTTTGATGCCTTCTGTGCCTGTATGGCGAGTAAAGGATAGTAAAGGCAAGAGTGGTGTTAATGATGATGGTGGTGGTGATGCTGATGGTGATTCTGATGAGCCCGCGCTTCGGATGTGGCCCGGACGGGCAGAGAACTTGGTATGCACGCTTGTGTTCGGATTGTTCGGGGACTCGTCGCAAATCTCGACCCACTACGGGCATTATGAAATCAGAGCTGAATCATGAAGGTGCCCTCACACATGCTCTGTGGTCGCCACCCGACGGGTTGGCGTTTGGGCAGCGGCCAGCGACAAATTTCGGCAGGCATTTGCACGGCCTGTGGTTTAATGTTCAGTTCCAGTCGCTGAACGCATGCAGTGAAGATCAGCAGTAGCCAGTTGCGCAGGCGATCCTGTCAGCCGTGAAGCGGCAGGCCCATCCTTTACACCCGTGTCTACATGATGGGATGCAGACGCGAATGAACGAATAAACTAGACGCACTTCTCATGTGCCGAGGTTTCAGAAGTGAGGGCCTTTCTGGAAGAGGCGAGCTTCTTTGCCGTTGTGCTGGAAGTTGTCTGCTCTGAACCGGGAACGGCAACAACGCGCACTGTTTCAGGTGCCCCTTCTGCAGAATCTGTCCGCTCGGGAGTTGGATTGCGTGTCCGACATGCCATGACCTCAGAAAGGTGTTTTGTTGCCTCAGTGGCCGCTTGGGTTCTCTGACAAGGTCCTATGTCAGATCCTATGCACCTGGCGACAAGCCCCTCCAAAGTGGTGTAGAGTACGGTGCTTATACGCAGGAGCATGCATTAGCAGCGTTGTTAGCTTTGCACACACCTGGCGCCACAAGGCTGACCCACGCTTTCTTTGTAATGTCGGGCCAGCTGAAATCCTGGAACTCGCCCGGCAAGGAGGACAGGGTCGTCCCCAGAGAGCCCAATGCCCCTTAATTAAGCAATATACCTTAAATTATAAGGGGCTTAATATTATGATTTAAGCTATATTCCTTAATTAAGGGGTATTGGGCTCTCTGGGTCGTGCGAAGGCCAATCTCCAGAGTACGTGAGTGTGACGCGACTCAGGAGGAACTTCTGCAAACTGGCCAGTGCATCGGTCCGCCTTGATTTTGCTTTTGCACCGTGGAGGTCAAAGTTGGCTCCTTCCTTCTTTCCTGCCAGGTGAGCGTTTGCTGCTGTATGGAGATGCCTCAGCGGCCTGAACCACGGCGGTCTACTATCAGAAAGCTCCTGCAAACATGGATTGCATTCAGGCCAACCTGGAAGTCACAAAGCGATGTGATCTCGTCTTTGTGAATGTCGGCTCCGGCAAGTTTCCAGAAACACCTCTGAATTCTTATCGGGCGAGAGGAGGAGCTTCATCACCGCTTCTCTGACCCTGGATGCCAGGCACGGAAGATGCGACAGCTTCTGGGCAAGCAAGAGGTTGCCATCAAGCTGCAGCAGCCCCGACTTATGCTGCCACCTCAGTGCTGAGCGCCCCGTCTCCTCTTTACGAGGGCCTCGCAGTTGTTTTTTCTAGATCTGAGGTCGAGCTTGCGCTCATCTCCTGCACTTTCAGCTTTGGCCCCAAGCTTTCCTCCAAGAGTGACATGTGCATAGCTCTCCTGGGTTTTTGTTGAGGATTTTTTTACTTTAAAATACCATAATAAGGAGCCGTATTACTTACTAATCTTGCTATTTATGGTAACTTAAAGTTACTATAATAAAAAAGCCATATATCCCTATTACTAGTATGGTAACTTAAAGTAAATCCTTTAAGACGAACCCAGTCTCAACTGAGGAGCAGCCTCAGTCGCTCGTCGCCCAGCTGGCAAAGTCGCTGGAGCTGAGCGAGTATATGCCAGGCATCCAGCACAAAAAGCAGAAACGGTTTAGGTTTTTTGGTTTAGGGTTTAGGGTTTTAGGGTTTTAGGGTCTAGGGTTTAGGGTTCAAAAACAGAATGGGGGTTTCCGAAAATTAGGGGGTACCTTGTTTTGGGGTCCTCATGATAAGGATCCTAGTACCCAAGGGTCCCCTTTTCCGGAAACTACCCCATGAGATACCATGATATACCACGATGTACCATGATCTACTACAGGTGTCTTGGCCTTTGCTGAACAGAAAGCAGCATGACCTGAAGACGCGGAGCCCTAGCACAGGCGCGAAGATACCACCTTCCATCGGCCTCTTCGTGGTTCTTGACGGAGATGTTCAGGCCGGATTGAAGAGGGCGCTTTAAAGTGAGCGTACAGGGGTGGATTTAAAGGGAGATTACAGGAGTGCTTTAGACTTTAGAGGGAGCTTACGGGCTTAAGGGGAGCCGTTAGGCGAGGCTTGCAGGGGTCGTCGGTTCTCATTTTGCCAGTCAGATGCGAGGTTACGAGCAGCTGCAAGTGGCACACCTGGGCTTGAGCTTGTCGCAGTCTTTGAGGCCGTCTAAACCCGGCAACT